GAGTCCGTGCATGAAGCAGTCGCTAGAAGCAGGATCAAGATTGTGGAGCTCATGCTGCGGCTTAACAATTCTCACACGCTCATCTGACTGAGAAGTTTGTATAAAGACTACCTGCTCACTACTGCATGACATGGGCAACTGCAAGATGTTGTACGTGGCTTCCTGCGCGGAAATTTCAGTGCTGTTGTAGTGGACATTGCTGATGCCTCGCATTAATTCACGCAGCGTACTGTTCCCTTTGCGTAATTCCTTAACCATTTCTTCAACTGTTGTGCTAACCCCTCGGTCGGACTTATTGATTTAATCAATGATGTAGGGCGCGCACGCACATGGGTCGAGTACGTACTCCAGATCCATATTGGACCTCATCGTGGACAATATTTTCGGCGAGTACGGGTTAATCAATATGTCCGAAGGAATGCGACGTAGGAAAACTTTGCATCTTCGTAGTTCGGCCCTTACTGCTCGCAAGTATTCTTTTGTAGCCTCGCATTTTTCCAGAAATTCATCAAAACTTGCGTTGTGCAGGGTTTCGTAATCGGTCAAAACACCATTTATTCGTTTTAGCACTCGTGCAAGACGCTCACGCTCTTGCTCGTCAGTGTCCTCCGGTAGTGGTCGCAGAATTCGGGTTCTGCGCATTGGGTAAAACGGTATCCCAAATCTGCACTTCCCTGTCCTACGTTTGCCGCATGTAGCAGTATGTCTGTGGTACTGAAATTCAAGATAATGCGGACTGCGACTGGGTCTCTGTTGATCCTGATGATCAGCTGTAGAGGAGCACGTAATGAATCTGCCGATGTAACTGCATACCTCACGTTCATTTTGTCCAGAGACCGTGTCAAATACTGGTGCTTCGCTTAGCCGGAGAAGCTGGTGTATGTGAGGTGATCCTCGCTGCTGAAATGCCACTCTGTAATATGAATGCGCAATTGCTATCCCTTTGAATGGACCGCCGGGAAGATCCCACAGTTTCCTCTGTTCTTGATACCTGTAATTGAAGTATCGAGCACAGGTAACTGAATCCAACTGAATCAGCCTCGATTTTTCAGCATATGGTAATGCAAGCGCTTCTGCTGCATTAATGCTTTCGTGATCAACAACCCGCTTCAGAATTTGCAGAAGTTCGGGCACTGTGTCTCTGACGCTGAAAGAGTAAGGAAGAAAGTTGGCAGTCCAAACTGCCTTACCATTGCCAACACTTTCTGCTTTTCATTGTGCCAATGTGTGCAGGAATTTCGGACACCTGCAAGAACACGATAAGCATCATCGTGCTGCACAAGTCCGTAGATGAAATCATTGTTGCTGAGATTACCGGCGTTGATGTCATTGCGACTGCGGATTTTCTTTTTCCGCAAGCATGAAGATACGTTGCTAGACAGTCTCAGCAACTCAATCTTCTCCGCCATGAAGAGTAAGTAATCGGGGCGTTGCGCCACTCTTCGGTCCTACCGCATGGCAAATGATTTGGCGATATCCGAGTAAGACATGGGACGACCTTGAAAGACGGGTTGCAGTTCATTCCCGCCAAAAATTGTTGGAAATGAAAGATACTCGGTATCTTCGTCGAGAAGGATCGAAAGAGGCCTGTGACCTTCGCCAGGGGCCATCCTTATACGCACTGAGCCTCCTCAGCTGACAACATTGTTTCCTGTGCACCCGAGTTAAGAGGTTCAGCATCATCCTCTTCTTCATCTTCCTCCGGTTCAATGTTTGTATCTGCAATTGGTTGGACGCGGCAGTGCTGCACCAATCAATTGTCTGAAAGCAATATTGTGAGACTGATAAAAAAGTTGTGCCGCAAGATACACGCAGCTTGCCAGATGCAATTTGGTCTGACATTGTCGGTAATATAATTGCCTTTGTATTGCATTCGTCGTGCAATGCGAACATGCACGACGTGCGCATCAGTG